CATTTCAGGTTTTTTTTTTTCATGACCTTGAAAGTTTGCTCATCCAGTTGTTGCAGGACTTTACTGTAACCTTTGCAAGAAATAGTTCTTACTTTTTCCATCAATAGATCTGTGCGCTAGCTGCAACTCTCTCTTCAGTGTTGCTGCAAACTGACTTCAAGTCTATTACTGCCACCTAGAGGGCTGGAGAGTGATTTGGTGTCTTGTTTAATGTAGTGTGACTAAAACTGAATGCCTATGCGAGTCGAAAATTAGGTCTTGCTAAATTGTGATGACCAGGTATCACAGAGACATTAAAGTTTTGCTTGATAATATAGAATAATATTTCCATCCTTTTTTATTTCCTCATCTGATGATCTTTGCATTTTTGATCTTACATTTTTTCATTGAGACACAGCCCCACATCCATTATACATATTTCAATTAAAGTCTTATTTAAGGAAAGAAAAGTTGTTCTTTCATAACTACTTAAATTTGATTTTGCTTCTGGCACCGGACAACCTTTGGCCAGCCCAGTGCGCAGCATTTATGATCCCATTAAGTGCCCACATAAGTTGAAGTGGCTCAGACATTGTGTGGGCGCATTATTATTACATTGGATCCTCGTTTGTTAAGAGAGCAAGTAAAAACCAGATCTAAAAATGAATATAAACAAATGTTCAGCATCCAATAAGGTGCCCTGTTGTATTTTGTTTTGAATTATTTTCCTGTGGAGATGTGTCGGGACACTTCCAGCCTTCTCTCGCAGTGTTGTTCCTCTTTCCTCCGATCCCTCCAGGTTGAGGACTCTGCGCCACGGCGCTGACGGACAGTTGGAACCGTGCGCACAGATCCGTGCCAAAACGCTTTACGCCTTTTCTCGGCTGGCCAGACAGTTATAGCCCAAGCTTACACCGTTTAGGTTTTTTTTTTTTTTTGTTAACCTCACGTGCGGCCATTTTTTTGTTACCCATCCGAGCCCATTCATCGTGGTGGGCGCACACTTCCCAACCGTGCGTCAGATCCTCCCCCCTTACATGGAAGGAGGAGGTGGAAATGAACAAACCAGACACAGATCCACAGCAGGATCTAAGAGCAAACGCGTCCTGACAGCGCAAAGACGCGCAGCTTCTGTCAAACTCTGCCGCTGCTGCGCCGACCGTCTTTGTCTGACATTTCAACACCAATTTATGAATGAACTCAGGAGGACACGGCAACGACTCGCGTATGTCCACGAGACGTGACTTACCTGTGGGTAGCGCGCGTGGGTTCGCCGTGATCCACGGATTGTAGCGGTCGGACATTCAGAGACCCTCCTCTCTTCAGCTGTCTGTCCTGGTCCCGCAGCAGACTGCCGAGAACAAAACGCCAATCAAACAACCAGACCACGCCCTTAGCATTGACGTCACACGCCTTCGACCAATCACGTCTGGGACTTGTTACAACCATCACAGATGTAGATAGTATTCAGTTATCACCATTCACATCAACACATATGAGCATAACTAAATGCACAGCAGTTATGATTTAAACTGGGAATTAAAACTAAAAGGAAGAGACTGTGAGAGGAATATTAGTATGTTCTACATGATTATGGAAATAAAAGCAATATTATTAAAAGGTCTCTAGGGTAAAGGGAACATTTTTTTTAAATGTTGTTGCTTCTTCTGTACACTATCTTTTTTTAAATACAGTAAAGACAGAAAAAGAGGGCTTTATCCAGATTTTATGCAATAAAAAACAACAATAACAGATAGTAAAGCAAGATAGTACTGAACAGGGAAGACGTTGGGAAAGAACATACAGTTTATCCTTCCAAAAAAACAACAACAACAACAAAAAAAACAGTCCAATGGACTTTAAGTTCGAGGCTATATACAGTACTGTATATAGCCTCGAACTCAACGCTATTCCTGACATTTTAAATCGAAAAAGCTTCCTGGATGGGAAGCGAAACTTTTTTTAACTGGGAAACAAAGTCCAGGGGATTGTTTTTTTGTTTTTTTTTTAACTTTGGAACGACTATTACCTGGATGAATCACCAGCAACTACAGTTTGCAAAGTTTTTTTTAGAAGTTTTGCAATAAATATGGATTATTTTTCTATTCAACCTTGTTTATTATGACACAACTGTATAAAATATAATGTTAACCATTTTGGAAAGTTGTTGAAGGAAATTAGAAATCTCTTCACTTAGTAGAAACAAAGATCTAGTGTGGAGATGAAATTAAAACCCCTTGGCCGGAGGAGCCATAGAAATCCATACCTCAGCTAGAGAAATCTGTTGATAGGAATAGAAATAATTACACTGATATTTTCTAGGAGCGGCAAAAAAAAAGGCGTTGAAAGAAAACCTTAAGAAGTCCTTTTTGCTTGTTTGTTTGTTTGGATTCACTTCTATACAGAAAGCCCACACTCTTATCTTTAGGTAACAAAGAGTACATGTCAGACTAAATAATACTACTTCAGCGATAGTTTCAAGGTGTTGCTTTATTGTATGTCTCCTACCATGTCTGTTGGTTGTGCTGTTCTTTTTGCATCTTGTTGCAGGTGATGAAGCAGACTGAAAATGATTTGTCATTGTCTCCTTTCTATCTCCTCTTTCTTTCATCTTTTCTCTTTTTTTCTTCTTCTGTTTTTCCTCTTCAGTTCTATTTACATTGCAGTGTCCATATAAACTGTAAAACTCCCTGCATAATTATAATAAAGCAATTTATAATCATGAAACAAGTGGAGCAATATGGCAAATGCCATGCTGCTACACTTGTGAAAGTAAAATCTGTTGGGCTCTTTTAGGCATCAAGACAATTAACTGTTAAAAAAAAAAAAAAAAAAAAAAGAAGTTCTGTTTGCTTTGCATATCAAGCCATATAGTCTACTCTAAGGCACACAGCAAGCATGTGGGAGAGAAGTTAGACTTAGACAGATTTATTTTGTCATTTTGTATACGTGAATGTATACAAAAAGAAATTTTGTTTAAAAACAGCTCTAGACAATTTCATTTTTTCAAAGTGCAGCCTTGAAAAACAGTCATAAATACATAAAAAAAATAGTAATATAAACATATGACTGTATATTTACAGTTCTAAGTAGTAGCCTTTTGGCTACTTGACCCCAAACATCCAAACCATACCATAAAAACATATTGGTAGCCGCTGTGTTTCTGTGTTAAAAACAGATTTATCTCCATAAATATTTTTGTTCTTATTTTCTTTTTGTTCTACTTTTCTCTTTATTTGTTTTGTGGACCTGTACATCAGTCTGGTAACTTTGGTATATCTAACATTTTATTATTAAAATCTGATTTCACAATAGTTAAGTTTTGTTGATTTTTTTTCTTTAACAGTCTAAAAAGTCAGGTTTAATATTCTTTCTATTATATTTGATGAGCTATAGATAAAATGTACTATAAGCTATGAGATAGGAAGCAAAAAAAAAAAAAGGAAACCTTTAAGAGGTTAAAGAGTGTCCCAGTTTTTATCCTAGTAAATCCCGATTGAACTAAGAGCTTCGTGGGTTTACCCCATGAATATCTCTGTTCCAGATTGGTTTTTCTGAGCCTTTTACTGTCTAAATACTATCTTACAAACCAAAACGACAAGAGGATTACAGCACTGGAAATTGAACTATTTCACGTTAGAACAGGCTCTTACCCTTCCTGCCACAAGATGGCGCTATTAACTGGTGAAAAAAAATTTCTTCAATCCAAATATCTAATCTGTCATGACTACCAAGTCATATTTGAGCGTATTTTTTGTTATGTATCCTCTAATAACTGTTTTCGAGTAAAAGGCAGGGTGTGCTTCCCCGCACAGGTCCAGACATGATCTAAGTTAAAGGAGCACATTGAGTTGAGTAATAAACTTGAGACAACATGCCCCATTATATACACACACAGCATAAAATAGTTTTACATGAGAACATTTAAATAAAGAACATCTAACTGCATGTCACTGACCACGTGTTTTTGTAAGTCTTCTGAAGAAAAGGTTTTGGATTAAATTTAGAATTTTTTAATTCATTAAATTGTTTTCAAAGGAACAGACAACTTTTATTGTCATTTTGTATACAAAATGGAGTGTATACACGGAGTGTATACAAAATTAAATTCCATTTTGAACAGCTTTTAGACAGTGAATGAGCAGCAGCCTAGCAGTGAAATTAACATTTCCATTACATGAAGTGCAGCAGTGATCGAACGTAAACAGTGTGTAAGAAAAGACATGATGCAATAATAAATAAAAAAAACTAGGGCAGGAATGCATTCTTTAGTATATTAAGTGAGTTAAAAAGCTAAACACTAAACTAACTGGATAAAACTGTTATCTTACCTTAGTTTGGATGAAGCTTAAAGTGGACTTTAATTTCTGAATAATTGTTATAGGATATTATTTTAAAATATTAAATTGGTTTCAGGGAATAACGAGTGACAGTCTGTCTTGTCATCATATATCCTCATAAGACATATTTAGAGTGATACTCCAAAAATGGTCTAACAAAGTAAAAATATTCTTCAAATAAGTGCATTTTTTTTTTCATTTCAGCAGGTAAATAAGATCATCTGCCAAAGGAATGAGTATTTCCGCTCTTGAAAAAGATAATTAGATATATTATGCTCTTGTAATAAGATAATAGTGAAGTTGTTTTTCCTTAAACATAAATCATCTTGTTCCATTTGCAAAATCTTACCTCTTTAAATCAGATGAAAACCTGCCCATGTTTGTTTGTGTGTTTCAAAAGCTGTAAAATCTGATCAACCCTCAAGTCAGGGCACGTGTTCATTCTCTCAAAGCATGTGCCTTCAAACCCTGTTAGAATAAACTTATAAAGACAAGATCCATCTTTTCTTTTGTTTAAACAATGTCTCACTTCTTGATAATTGAAAAATACCATGACATAAACTTACTTCAAGAAAATTTGAGCTGGTTATATATACATTTCTACTGAGTGTGTTTTCAGTACAGGGACTATAACATGGTCTGGGGCCAGTTCTACAAGGGCACTGGCCCCAATGGGCCCCTGTCTAGAACTGCTTATGCTCCACCATATTGTTTGTCTATATGGTTAAATGGTACCATTTTGGTTTTTTTTTTAAGTTTCTTCTAAACCTGCTTATCTGTCAGTTTCAGTGGGGGCTGGAACCTCTCCAGCAGCCTTTAGGTGAAAGACAAGGCACACAGTTCACCTGCTAATCACAGGCTGACATAAGACACAACAAGATGCACATACTCACACTGAAGAGCAATTTAGAAACACCAACCAACCTAACACCATGTTTTTAGAGTGTGGCAAAAAACCAGAGTACCCAGAGAGAATCCATGCATTGAGAAGATGTAAACTTCAGGAACAACGTACATATTAAACTATGATTTTGTCATGATCGTGGTGCAGATGACTGGTCTGATTACTCATACCTGCCTAGCTCCACCCAGTTGTCATTACTGTTCATCTAATCCACCTGCCTGAGCTTCTACTTAACCAGCCCTCTAACCAGTCATCAGTGCCAGATTATTCAAGTATTTGGTAAGAGTTGTGTAATGTTCCTGAGTGTTTCTGTTTGCCTGATCCTGACCTGTTCTGCCTTTGGACATCTGAGTCTGCCTGTTCCTGTTCTGTTTGCCTGACCTGTCTTTGCACTTTTGCTGGATTTCTGCCTGTGAACCAAACCTCGAACTTATTCCTGACACCGTCCTGGATTTCCGTTCTGTACTTCTCTGGACCTCTGATTTCCTGGCTCTGACTCCCGAGCACTTCTTCGACACTGGCTTTGGCTTTGCCCTCTGAATTATCCTGCCTTCCTTCATCTGCTCGGTTCTGAGACTTCAGCATCTGGGATTCTCTGAGCGACGCCTGCCGCGTCTTGCTAGCAGTCGACCGACTGGAAAAAACCTTTGCCTCGTAGGGTCTCGAATGGAACTTTAAGAACAGGTCAGTAACTCACACATACATAATCATCCTTGGACGTTTTCACTATCCAGTGTTCTACTCCTACAGAGGTTCCTGCCTTAAAAGTCGATGCTGTTCTCTGCAGTTTCGTCTTAAATGAACATGTTTTTAAACCTGTCTTTCCACTTCGAATACTGGGTCCTTTTGTTCTGAGCCTGACAGATTTAGCATAAAACATATTCTGAACTAATCTTCTTTTAGTACAAATATGATTAACTATTAAAATAGTAATTAACTGTGTCAGTCCGTATCTTTGCTTCAGTTTCATAAGTTAAATCCAGAAATAATACCTGGTCGACACGTAGAATCAAGAAATCACCTTCATGTTACCTGCCTCACATCATGACATAGGCTAAAATAAGTCAAATAGCAACATATCTAAAGAATTGTTGAGAATAATTCAGAAACCAAATCACTGAGCTATTTTGGACTTCAGCAAACCCTGGAGCCTTTAACCAAAACAGGAGAGAACATGGCAACCGCAGTTATTTAAAGATTGCATATATAACTCATCCAAGAGGTCAGAAAAAAAATGAATAATGACTACAGCACTGGTGAAAGTCTGTTTGTGAGCAAAAGTTTGAGCAAAATTATTCAGCAGGACAATGACCTGGAATGCATCAACAAGTCCAACACTGAAGTACTTACAGACACAAAGACAAATAGGTTTGGAATGGTCTAGTCAAAGTCTGGATTTAAATATAATTGAGATGTTGTGCTGGGGCTTAATCTGCCATGATTAACAAAATCACTCCGCCACAGTGATGTAAAACCCAGGTTACAAGGAATGTTTGATGGCATTTTTTGTCAGCCCCAGTGCCCAAAATAGTTTTTGAGGGAGCAATTACTTTTTCTAATAAGCTTAAGTTATTTTGGTGATCTTAATCTTTTAAAAGCTAAAAAACAGCATGAAATCTAACAGAGAGCTCCCAGGTCTTCACAGCTGAGGACACATATCTGTTATGACACCAATAACTCACTGACCTGAATACGTGATTGACCAATTTCAGCACTTATATGTGTGTGAGCTTCATTGAACATATGCCAAAAATGCTTTTGTTCAAACAGTGATTGTTTAATAGCACAGATATACAATACAATCGACACGCCACCCGCCATGTATCATTGGGGTGCTCAGATGACTCTCAATAAACTATTTACAGTGTTATGGCAAGATGGGTAATTGAAGCTTATACACAGAGACAGAGATAAGCTATGCAACAATTTGAACAGGTAACAGGTGAAAAGACAGAGCTGTGATTGGGTGGGGCATGGCAGGATGAACGGACAGACGTGGACATTATCAGAGCGTCAGAGGTGACCAAGGTGGTGGACGAATGAGGGCCATCACCACAAGGATGGGTCGTATCTGGGGAAAGGAAAGGAAAGAGATCAGCTTTATGTTACGCAAATGGAGAACTTCAACTCACAGAATACCTTACATGCCTTGACTGTGGAAGTGTGTCTCTGCTTTCCTTCAGCAGCATCTCTGAGACCACCGTGTCCAGAATCTCAGGACTGGACCTTTTTCCATACCTGAGATTCACAAGGAAACAAGGAAAATTAAATGCTTAGGAGAGCATCCATCTTCCTTTCGTACTCCATCTTTTCGTACTCCATTCGTCTTCTTCTAGATATTCAGCAGGCTTGTTCCTTGGAGGTTTTTAAAGCTTGGCTAAAAACCCACCTAACTAAATTCCTAAGCTTCTGTTCTTTCCTTATTGGTATTTTCTCTTGTGTTTTGTTTTTATCTGTTTTTGAAGTGTATTTTTATTTCTTATTTTACAAGTGTTGTCTCCTGCCATTCAGCACTTTATTTGGTAAAAATTATTATTAGTATTATTAACTAATGATACAAATGGCATGGCACAAGTAAGTTTGCACGTTTTAGTATTTCATTTTTTCTGCCTGTATTTGTGTCCTCTGGATTATGTTATAATCTCATCCAAACCCAAGCAGAGTCAGACAATAATCTAGGAAGACAGAGACACAAGCTGCTGCACAGGGGGTTTCCTCGTCCCTTCCTGTGCTTTTGATAAGTCCTGTGGGGACCACAGATATCCTGGAGCGGTTTATCGCTTGCAGAGGCTTCCAAATGCGAGGAAAACTATGGGGGACTTTACAGAAAATCCTGGTAGTATAATGGGTACTCTTCTTTTTTTGTAAAGAAATCTAAAAAATGCTTTTAAATTCAGTTATAAACTAAATAAAAAATAACATTTATTTTAATTGTTTTGATTTCTATAAAATAAGATACAAATTTACTTCATCAAAATCATTCAGATAGACACATAGAAATAGTATTTTTTATTTTTTTTCTCAAAGAGATTAACAATTTCTTGCCTATATTATTTGGAACCTTGTAAAATTCTATTCTATGTTACCAATTTTTACTCCTTACCTCTGTCTCGTGATGAGGTTGATGTAGTGTCTCAAGGCAGAGTAGTATTTGGCCAGCTCCTCCGCCGGAGCATCCTCCCCGGGGTTCTCGGGTTTCACTGGGTACCCCTCTGTCAAGGCTCCCAGGCAGACCAGCGCCCACAGCAGGAGCCCCAGAGTCCCCAGCCAGCTCAAAAAGTTAGGATGCATCTGACACAGAGAAGACAATCCAGTCTGTGCCACACTTAAATACTGCTGCTTCTGCTGCATGCCTCTTTCTACATCAAAACTCGCATGCACTTTGTTTTGCGTTCAAAGCCATACAATTTCTAGGATTATTAAATAAAGGAATGAATGCATTTAAAAAAGAGATGAATGGTCTACTTTTTTTATTTCTTAGAAGAAATAGTGAAATTTCCAAGTACTTACATTTGTCAGAAGGTCTAAGTCAGATGTGTCCTGTTGTTTCTTCTCTGCTCCTCTGTGCGCTCTGTGCGCGACAAGGGGTTTTTATCAGTGCACGCCAGACGCGCTCTAGGAAAAAAAGAAAAAAGAGCTCCTCTCTGTTTGGCCCTGGTCTCTGCCTTCCTTCATCTTAACGTCACTGCTGATGTCTTCATCAAGGTGCGTAAGTGCATGTGTAGTTTGTATCATTACAATGAAAAAGCAAACTAAAAATAGAGTAAGTTAATAAGCTTTGTTTCCAACGAGAGCCTGGGAAGTTAGCTGCTTAAGGAAGACGTGAGCATACAAGCCCACTAAGTCAACTTTTCCACTGTACAGATTAAAATACATCAATGTGGAAATGAAATACTCAATATAGTCAAAGTATACTATAAACATATACACTATATCAACATTTTGAAACTTAAAGTTCCTTAATGGAGGAAGCAAGTCATTAATTATTGAACAGTCAGATTATGACTGATTGATCTCATTTTCAAAATAAGATAAATCATCTAACATGAATGTGCTAAAGAATGTCAGCAATGCAGCATTTTGGACCAAGTTCAAATGAAACTTTTACACATGGGCTGCCTCACCAAAAGCAGACGCCCCGGGATGTGTGGAACAAAAAGGTCTCAAACTGGTTCACATCTACACGACTGAATTAGTACATTAATTTCATTATGTGGCTCACTGCATCAGATGGAAAAGAAAAGTGACTGTGACTCGTTAAGTGAACAAAAGGAACAAATTTGAATATATAGATGCGTCAACGAAGGGCCCAGTCTCCAAGAGACCTACTTAATAAGAAAACCCAAATAGCATTTGCTGTGAATCTGCATCGCCAAGAGCTTCATTTACCTCCCATTCATAATCCTTTTGTGCAGCAGCTTGCTGCCATGTAATCTGTCAAAAATCAGCATTCTTTGGGAACGCTGCTTTCTAACTATCTCAGAGGATGTGTTGAGTGCTTTTTTTGTATAGCACCGGATGCAGAGAGAGACGAGGAGGGTGACACAAACGAGATAACGTGGAGCGTGGAGTCATGACTGACTGGCAGGAATTAGAAGATTTACTCCTCTTCAGGAGACACATGTGCCCTTGAAGACTCTCTTTAACAGGTATATCATCATTCAAATGGAAGCAGCGTGAGCCTGTAGATGGCTGACATGGGATTGAAGCAGATGTGTAAACTGGGGGAGGGGGGGAGAGAGCGTAAAGATCAGAGGGCTTTGTTGAAAAAAAATCTCCTCTAGAAGGCTTTCAGCATTTTAGATAGGGGCAACTAAGTTAATGTCCTCTGAATTAAAAGCTTAACCACCCTTAAAGGCAGATGAGTGGAACCTTAAGTTCCTCTATACAGGGAGTTGACAGTCTGGTAAATTTCAGAACCTAGTTTTAATGCACAGCACCTCACAAAAGTACCAGAGCACTTAAACTCTTTTATTTGGTGTCAACTTACAACCACAAATTACAGTGTAGAACTAACATGGGAAGAATGTCGCCTTTGGATGTTTTACTCTCTTTTGTAAACGAAATAATGGTCAATATAGTCTACCCCAATTTAAAAAAAAAAAATCAAAGCAACCTTTAAACATACAACTGAAGAAAAAAAAGCATGTGAATTGTTTGAAAATATGAATGTTCAGTATTTAGTAGTTGTATCTTTGGCTACATTCACAGCTCTTTACTCTGTCCATGAAGAATTCCTCATTAGGATTCAGACATGTGCTCAGATTTGGCCACTCTACAACATTCACCTTGTTTTCAGGTCTGTTCTGCATGGCTTTGGCTGTCCATTTTGACATACCAAGTTGTGATTCACAGACAGACTGAATATGGCTGCATGCACTCCAAAATGGTTGGGTCACCCAGAAAGCTGGTCGGATCTGGATGGGAGGCATGTTTTATTGACATGTTTCGTTTTATGCCTTCAGGTTGCCATTATCATATGCCTATGGTCAAAAAATATCATTATTCTAAATATTTGAGTGTCTTTATTTGTATTTCTGACCAGGTTGCTATGATAAATTGCCCTTAATTTTATTATTTAAGTTTTCTGATGTAGGTTGTCATCATATTTCTCTGCATTTGTTTATCAGCCTGGTGAAGTGCATCCACAGAGCATAAACTTGCTACCATCATGCTTCCTGATAGAAGTCCTTGCAGACCATGTATAAAAGAGAAGTGTCTTTCTCTCTGTTACTCTAAAAACATCATAGCATAGAAAAGCAATCTGTAATGACTCAGAAGCGAAGGACCCAGAATTCAGGCAAGACAGACAGTGGAATAACTTAAAAAAGTGTTTATGCAAATGACGGACTGTGGATCTGCGGTATCAGCAGCTAGGGCATCTAAAGTAGAAATGTTATAGGAGAGAAACACAGGTTAGAGACCAAAATAATCTGACGGAGGATGATTATGAGCTTGCGACACACTAACCTGGTTTCACAGTTCAGTCTGTCCCTAGAGAATAAGGATGATTCTAGCCGGTCGGCTGACAAGACGCAACGGACCCTGCCAGAGAGTTCCAGATGCTGAAGACAGGAAGGCTGCAGAATTGGCAGGAGGTCAGATCCAAGCAGGAAGGCAGGATAATAAACAGGGCAAAGTCATGAGGCTGCCCCTGTCTGAGCTGTTTGCCTGGCCGATCTTCGGACTCTGTTGGGTTTTTCTGTGGACTGGCAAAACTCTGGAGTCCAGAGGAAGAAACTAGTCAGGATTAGGTAATCAGAAACACAACTGGGTACACTAGAGAACTCTCACACAAGGATCGATAATAATCTGGCACTGATGGCTGGGAATAATATCTGTCAAAAATAATTCTTCTATGAAAAATATTTTTTTTTCATTGCATTCATGTAATGAAACTTGTTATATTCTCTTAACTTATCATAACAATAGAAATACCTAGAAATAACAAGATTTCCATAATGCTGGGGGCAACTAAATTGGGACATTTTTAAGTTTACTAAAGTATACTTAAAGTGTACTTTAGTTAACAGTAAAGTATATAAAATATAGTTTAGAATGAGTAAACTCGAAGTGCACTGCCTGATTTTAAGTATGAAATTAGTGTACTTTTAGTATACTTGAATAAACTACTTTTTGCTAAGGGGTGACACAGCAGATCAGTAGCCTCACAAGCTAACTGCCTGAGAAAAAAAGCAAATCTTTGGTATGAAGGTACAAACCATGTCAAAGTGCTCTTCTTGTTTAAAGGGGCTGTTGGCAGAGGGGCAACAGGCAATGGGTCTGATTTGATAAAAATGCTGTACACAGTTATAGGAACAAAAGTTTAGATCCCAGTGAAGATGGACTTTGAAAAAGTAAATATACCCCATTATGTGTTATAATGTAAAACCATTTTTAGAAGGAATCCAAACCCAAAGAAGTTTTATGTATGAGATAAAAAGGGGAAAAGTTATTTAACTATTTAATAAATTCCTTATTTATTTAATAAGGAATTTATTTCTACTTTAAGGAATCTAGGGAGGCCAAAACAGATGTAAAAAATACTAAAAATTTAAGTTTTTAGAAAACCTAATGCCAATTTGAGAATGTGGTTAAGGAACATGGTCTGAAGAAAATAACTTTAGACAAAAAAAAATTTAGTGTAACATTACAAAGTCCAGGAATTCAGATTTGTGGATTTTATAAAATTCATGTTATAAATCATCTTTTTAAAATCTGTCATTAACAAGGTAAAAAAAAGGCCATTAAGATTAAGAACATATTTGTTGTTTTATATGTTTGTTGCGTGGGGTTTAATTTAAGTCCAACTCTCTCACAACGTAATAATGAGGCTGTGAGGCAGCCTTCAGATTGCAGAGTTTCTGACCTCAGAAATTAGAACAGCTTATGGTGTTGCTTAAAGATGCATTGTTGATTATTCTGGACTCTAGTCCTGCAGCATCTTTTACATCCCTGAATTGGAGGCGGTAATGTCCCAGTAAGTTGTCAGGCTATGGTTTAAGAAATATCTATACTTTAGATATGATCCTTTGTATACAACTAATGTTACAAACAGATTATTGCGAATCTTTGGTTTGCATTAATAGGGGTGTTGACGAGCTGAGTCTTATAAAATTCTCTTCTTGAATTATATTCGTGATCCACCCCGGGTAGTAACAAAATGCTAATTGGGGATGTGAACTAAAAGATTAACTGAAAATGTGATCATCAGTTTTAATCAGCATTACTGCTAATGATATACGCCCTTGCAAAGATGGCAATCATCTCCTGTACTGTCCACTGAGCTGATTAGATATCTGAAAATGCTCCTAACAAATTTCTCTGTGATATCCCCTGCATTCCTTAAGGTACGGAAAGTTATACATGCAATAAAAGCTTGGTGAAAGTTTTTCCTATTAGAAATCAGATTTGTAAAGACAAATTCCTTTTGAGAACAAGCTTTTTTAAATGCAAATCTGCCTTCTCCGCCTCTCATCAGCCTCCTAGTTCGTACAATAAGTTCTTCTCTGAGATTTGTTAAGATGAAAGAACCCCGTAATTTTCTGCCACCATGAATCACACTTTTCAAATTTACAGTGATCAAGGGGAGAAAGGGAATACTAACATGCAAGCAGCATCTTTCTCCTCGCCCAGGCAGTTGCATCCAAACAGAAAGAGAAGATAAATTTGATAAAAAGCCAACTTTTCTCTTGTTTTCTTAGGGTACCACCAATTTTTGTTCTAAGTCTTGACATCTAAATTGTTACTTAGTTCTGTAAGCTACTGTACAATGCTGACAATCTGTCTACTTGCGTTTGGCAAGAAATACTGTTTGTGAAAAGGAAAAGGTCACGCTCCTAAGCTAGTTAGAGACCTGCTTTCTGCATTGCTTTTTATTTTTTGCATGAAAATCTCACCTGAACACAAAAATAGTGACCCTGACCCAACGCCCTTAAAAAAGCATGTGTTAGTTCATATGAAGAGGTTAGGATTATATAAGAGATAGATTTCACTGATCTGCTGAAAGGAAAAAGTGCAAATGAGGACTCTGACATCTAATAATGGCAGAGTCTTCACAGTAGGACCCCTGTGTTGTTCCA